TGGTAGATGGAGTTGTGTTTGGGCCAACACACTGCACTTTCAAGGGATACACAGCAGCTCTTAATAAATATTGGGGTGCTTCATTCTGCACTGCTCATAAGGCAGAGTGGGGAAACCAATGTCATGTTATGGACTATAATGGAGTATGGGTAGAAAGGATGAAAGCCTGTCTGGAGCATCAGGAGGTTTGGAGAAAGTGGCAGAGGAAACATAGCTGTACATAGAGTACAGCAGGCCTTGTAGCAACCTGGAGATCAGAATGACTGGAGAAGAGTTGCACAGTGCAATCAGAAGTCCCATGACAAGCCTGAAGAGGAGCGGCAAGAGGGAGTTTTCCACTACTCACAAAGTCTTTGAAGAGTCTCTGAAGACTCTTCACAAAGTCTCTGAAGAGTCTCTGAAGAGTCTCTGAAGAGTCTTTGAAGAGTCTTTGAAGAGTCTTTGAAGACTTTGTGAAGAGTCTTCGGATACTTTGTGAAGAGTCTTCGAGGACTTTGTGGAAAGTCTCCGAGGACTTTGTGAAGACTTTGTGAAGAGTCTTCAGACAGTCTGAAGACTTTACGGAGACTCTGTGGAGACTCTGTGGAGAGTGGTGGGCCAGTGTAAAGTGTAGCTTTTTCTTCTTCCGCCCCTCCCTCTCACTCTCACTCGAAGACGATGCAGACGCATCCAAGTCCAAGTCTGACTCTGATGACTCACTCGACGAATCCAACTCTGACTCCGAACTGGAGTCCAAGCTTGAATTGTCGCTGCTGGCCCAAGGGTGACGACGCTTGCCTGAACTGTCGTACTGGCATTCGAACAACTTCTCTGAATACACATATTGGCCAGCTTTTAAGGCATCCTCAATGGATGGGATTGCGTTGGCTTCTTGGTCCTTGTCCATAACCTCGAGCCATTTCTTGATCGTCTTCCAAGTCTTCCGGTGGAGTCCCTGCCAAAAGAAACGGTTGGCCTGCTCTTCAATGATCTTCCCATTGCTCAAAAGCCCCTGCGAGATTGAGACAAACTTGCGGTAGTAGTTCATGAAGTCCCGCTCCTTGCTGATGTTGATGTCCTGGCACTCCTCGACGTAACACATCAGATCGGAGTAGGTGTACTCCCGCTTCTTCTCACCGTCTGTATATGCCCCGTTCACCGCATCCTTCCACTTCTTGAGATCTCCTAACGCCACCCACTTGTAGTTCTTCATCCCCTTCCACAAATCCTTGTCCCTCGACTTCTTCACATACCGCAACGCCAATGCTGCTCTCTCCTTCTCATCCACATTACATGCAACCGCCAACTCCTCAAACCTCTCCCAAAACTCCTCCAACTGTCTCCCCTTCCCTGTGAACTTAGGCACTCCACGAGCGCCATATGCCAGCATATCGGCCTTTGTTTTTGCTGGTTGTGCCATAACTGGTGGCAGTGGTGGTGTGTGTTCAGAACTTCCTTCTTTGATTTCTTCAGCTGACTTCTTCAGCTTCTCCTGATCCTTCTTTGACTGTAACGGCTTCCAGAGATCTTCGAAATAGAACCCAGGGGTTGGCAATTCAAGTGCCCGTTCAACCTCTAATGTCAACGGCAACTCAAGCTCAATCAACGGCGATCCGGGCGATAATGAGTGAAATACAGTGGTGCTGGAGTTCGACGATGGTACAGAAAAGGTCGTTTGTGATGGATCTGGAGGTACGAGGGTGACTGCTGGTGCGACAAGCTGAGACGGCAATGTGAACAAGTGGGTGAGTCCGGTGGTCTTCCCTGATGCCAGCAGCTGGTACGTTGGCAGATCCTGTCTCGATTCGGAGTTCTGAGCACCCTTCCTCCTAGGTAGGACCCTCCTTTCGGTCGAGTGCTGTGAACTGGCGCGAGGCAGCACCGTTCTTGCCTGATCAATAGCAATCTACTCCCTGATGCAACGTGCACCCGGAAGGTTGGTGAGCAGCAAGAATTCCCTTGTCAAAAAATTTGCTGCCCTCGCGGTGGGCTCCAAATGTAGGTCTGTGTCAGGCTGCAAGTATGAAACAAGCAGAAACGATCAGAGAGAAATCAAGTAGTCGATAGATGGTTGTCGTTCTGTACAAGATGTTACTGCTTATCTAATCTAGAATCCAAATGAAGAAATGTGCACGGGCTCGAGACTCTATGGTAACTGTACCTACTGGCTATCTACCAACCTCTACACTGTCTTCAGGTGCTGGATTGCACTGTTTCTGGCATAACTTGTCAGAGGCCTTGTGGTTATTATAGTGGTAGGTATCAACAACAAAAAGAGAAGTGTCCAGCCAGGGCCTTCAGACAGAATTGATATAATAGTTCTTAAAATCAAGTATGCTTTGGACTATATGAAGACTCTTCAGAGGCTCTTCACAAAGTCTCTAAAGAGTCTACAGAGAGTGGTGGGTGAGTGTAATGTACTTGTCAGAGGACCCATAAGTATAGTAGTTAATTATAGTGTAAAACAGACACTCATCTTTGTTGTGATGGTTGGAGGACAACCCATATCAATGGTGGTTTGGAAAGCTTCTGTCTAGGGTCATATGATGGGGAGAGAAGAGAAAAAAGAAGAAAATATGACCTCTGAGAGCTTTTATCTGTGGTAAGCATATATGACTGGACTTATACTACTACCATGCCTGCTTTTTGATTTTTTGAGGATAAGGATGCCTAGAAGGAGATACATATCATCATTCGACTAAGAAGCACTTTCAGCCATAGTAAGATCAAGTTTAGGGCACTAAAAGTGCAAGTTTTTGAGATGATAGAGGCATAGTAGAATGCAGACAGAGGCAGAAATCCACAATGTGCAGGAAAAATATGACTAAATATATTATTTATATCATATTGCAGTACATCAAAACAGGGTCTAGTTTGATGTTATAAAAGATCTGAACAAAAATCAGTCATAAACTGCACAAAAAATACTGGGCCTAACCAGGAATTGAACCTGGGACCTCCTCGACTTGGACTCAAGCCCTAACAAGGAATCATACTACTAGACCATCAGGCCAGTACTAATGGTTTCTTGCATTGCATCTCCACAGGGCACACAAAAATTTTGGTAACTTTAATTAAGAGCTAAACTTAACACTGGCCCACAGGTGTATGTACACTTCTTATAATGTATCCACAATGTGCATATATTGTGCTTGTACACTCCATAAACACTCCCTATGTACTTCATAAATACTCTATTATTTTATAACTTTCAGTTTTCCTATGACTTTGTATCTTGCTAGTGGGAAGCTTTGTATATCCTTCCATTGTATTGATACTTGGCTTTTCTGGGTTACAACTGTAGAAAGGTTGGTACAAGTTCTTGGGTGTTGATGCCAAGATGAAGCCTGGCTGATTGCCAGCAATGCTGTTGTCTCCACCACCTCCCTGGCTCATTAGGTTGCAACCCGGCTGCCACCTAAACACCTTGTGTGGACTTGGTTGCAACATTGAAGCTGTTCATACCAGCAATCTCAGCCTCACTGCCCACCATTGATATCTTTATCCTTTTTGCACAACATCTATGCACCTGCTATGTCTTCCAACAGAACTGTTGAATGTCCAGTCTGTTTTTGAGAGTATACCTGCCATGGCTTGCCAAAACATCTGAAGGCCTGCAGGCAGCAGGCTGAAGACAACGCAGCTGAAGAAAACTAAGAATCCAGAACTGTACACAAACGGGATGGATTGATGAGTGAGTAGGCAACTTTATTGTGCTTCTATATGTTTACTCACCCAGCATGTAGATTTTATACCATTGGACCCCCTGCTCCTGCTCCTGCCCAACACTGCATCTGGGGAGAGCTGTCCAAGAATCTGTGCTAGTATCATCCAGGTTTGGGGCTACCAAGCGGATTATTCTACCTGGAAACCCAGTATATCTCCAGCATGTCACCAGCATGTTGCCAGGATGATTGATGTATCACCTGCCCTGGATGCCATAGCATAGCACAGTGAGGCACATCAGAGCACTGTCCCATGAGTACTTTTGCACCCAAGCAGTAAGTGTTTGCACAAACAGAAGAAAAGTAATTTTAAACAACAAGTAAATAGCGTAGATTTGATCTATAAGGTACCCTAAATACTATTTTCAAGCTTATATTTGTGTCCTAATTCTGTGTGCCACACCAGAACCATTACAGACGATCCACTCGGCAGGGTGCCTAAATTGCTGGCTCTCATGAAATGACAAAGTTAATGAGTTGGTACATATAGCAAAGGTTTACATATCATAGCAGGCAGTAATATCCAACTGAATCAACATGTGTACATATACTATGTGCATGCAAGGGCAATAGGACAGTGAGTGTAGATATGTCTGAAGCTGCAACAAATGCCACAACACCTCCCACCAGCCCAGTTGTTTTGTCCTGGAGTCTCAACCAGGCCAGACTGACTTTCAGATGGCTCCTGCACCTGGTTTATGCAAGATCTGGTAGTTGGGCCACCACCTTTTGGTGCTCCTTTAAGAGCTCCAGTGATGCAAGCCATCCATGGTCTTCCCTTTGGATTTAAAGGGACAGGGTCACGAACCTGACCTTCCTTTGCAGCTTCCTCTCTTGCTTGTTTGATTTGAATGTCAAATCAGCTCAATTCGACTGGAACATGCATTGACAAGCAAAAGTGAAGACCTACCGCAATGTAAGAAGCTCTTCAACAACCTCTGTCAATTCCTCCTCTGTCTGAATCCCTGCAAGCATCAGTCTCAAGGCTGTGTTTGCCTTGTGGTTCATCTGTTGAGCTCCAATGGTTCTTGTTGCAGGTAGCAGAGTATGGAACTGCATAGCTGGAACATGATCAATTGGGTTGGAAAGCAGGCATGGGGGTGGCATTGTTGAAGCGGCACTTTTCTCAAGATGGGGACCAGTGTAGTCAAAGATCAAGGATGGTAACATCTTCAGATCTACCTTGGGATCTTTGTACCATCTATTGGGATAGATATGCAAGTTAGATGAAGAATGGTCTTAGATTGAGCCTTAGAGCCTACCTTGCATGGATAAGTCCCATGTGGAAGCTTGGGGCATTCAAATTCCATGCATTGGTCCAGACATTGAAGAAATGCCAGCACGGAATTCCAAGATTAATGCCCATCCCACAGTCACACATGTAATGCTGTTCTGGTAGAATTGCAATGTAATGAACCATTCCGGAGTCCAGGTGTGAGACTCTGTATATGTGATGTGGGTAAAGTCCACAATTGCACATGAGATGAAGAAACCATTACATCAATAAATAAGTACTTTACCCTGGCCCACAGGTGTACACCAGGTATACGTATACCTAGTGTATACCTGGTGCACCCCCCATGCATACCCAGTGTGTACCTGGTGTATATGGTACATCAGGTACACACCAGGTATATGCTAGATATATGTATACCTAGCATATACCTAGTGTATACCTAATGTATACCTGGTGTATACCTGATGTATGGTCTATGCTAGGTATATACTAGGTATATGTATTGTGCTTGAGATGACTGCAGTAAAGCATTGGACAACTATTGAGGGGGATTATTTTGTACTGTCCACAAAGAACAATGGGGAGACAGATATTTGAACATGGACCACAGGAATCTGATGAGCCTTGCAGAGGCCAAATGAAGGATCTCAATGTGGCCTGGTTGGACAACTCATGATGAAACTCAAGAAGAACACCTGGAGTGAAGTATTACTTTAAGCCCAAAAGATACTATTGTGTGGAAACTATCTGTCATCCCTGTGCTATTGTCAAGTTATGGGCTATATAACACAAGTTTGTAAACAGTTGAATGCATGGCTTGGAGGATATGCTTCTATTTTAAAGCCAATGACTGCTACAAACTTTAACTGGACTGTTCATGTTATGGTATACTATTGCACTTAAACTATAC